GGAAAAGTGAAGAAATGAAGAAAGAGTGAAAGTCATGTTGCCTATGGAAAAATATATCTCACTCAAAAGTTTACACTTTTATACAAACCGTTATTTCAACTTGTTCAAAGGAAAAAAATGGACTACACTTATCAAAATAGCTGGAATAAAAGGCTATATTAGGGTTTTCACTTTGACCACCAGCTTGCAAAAAAAAAATCCTTATTTAGAAAAATTACAGCCTTCTATAAATTACGTGCTAATTTGGGAACAGTCGAATATGGCATTAATAGATACGGTAGTCAGCTGCTAAGCGAATTTTTTAAATATAGAATAGAATTTCTGATTATGGCATTTTGCTATTTATATAAAAGTATGAAAGTACAATTGCACTTGTCCCAAATTATTGTGGTTGTAGTTTGCATTCAAACAGGTAAACTACATCTATTTCATTGAAGCACGTGTTCAAGTAAATGTTCCCGAATTGGAATCTTGCCATTTGTATTGAATTTTACACTTTAATTTTTAATGAATCAAGTATAAATTGCATATGCGTCCGTAGATTTTGTTTTTGCAAAAGCGCGAAGATTAAGAAAAATAAGAAAAAAAATGTACCATTGACATCTTCCAGTGTTTGAGCTAATTTTTTTTCAACGAAAGGGTATTAGGTATTAGAAGTTTCTTGAATACGACGAATGGCAAATGTGAAATATAATAAATACTTGTTATAGCTCGCTTCATCCAAACCTATGACGAAAGTTCAAGTAAAATTCCAAGAAAATTTTGTAAATATACGGCATTGAGAGTAATTGGTGTGTGAATTCAAAGGTAACAAAGTGCGGCAATTTTAGTTAGAATATCACTATCACAATTGGCCAGTTGAATCTTACCTTTTCTCCCTGATTATCCAAGATGTACGCAGGATAATCTAAAAAAGGCAAAAAATGGTTTAAAGACGAAGTTACGGTATAATATAATCAGAGATTACCCATTCCGCACGTAGACGCAGCCTCATGAAGTGAAAGCCATGCGACCTATTAGGTGCCCTGGACACCGCCAATTTGTGATAATTGTAGACAAATAGGATAGTGAAAATTGGAATGGGTTGCCCTTTCATGCACACAAAGATAAAATTATAGAAAATGAAAGAAAATGCACGTAGAAACAGATATGAAAGTATATTGAGGTCTTGCTTTTGGGGAATAAACCTTTTGATTGAATTTTAAAAAACCCTAAAAGAGTTCAGCCTTATTGTCCTTAATTTAGCATTCCATTAGCATTTGATTCCTCTGTGTTGCAGGTAACCATGTAGTGACTTTTTGCAGGCACTGAGCCTGTCTATTCATCTCCGGATTACTGTAGAAAAGAATATGCTTATTAAATATCGCTCATTATGTTGCATAAAATTCACAGAATTAGGTTTTCAATGCGGCTATGCTATTTCGGTAAAAGATATATGTTTATGGAACTAATATAACCTAACTTTTCTCTATATTACAAAAATCAGGAATGATAGACAGTTCACGAAGTTATCACAAGTGACGATATCTGTAAAGCATGAAGAAATCACTGTAGAATAATGGCATATATATCGATTTTGAAAGTCAAAAGCGCAATCCTAATGTAACTTTACGAACAATAAATTGTAACTTTCTGGTAGACAAGAGATTTTCAATTTCTCCTTATCACAGCACACTAGTGAACCTCCATCTCAAACTGAAAGCACAGAGATGAACCATCTGGGATACTTTAAGAAGAATGCCTTCACCCGTTCTCTCTGAGGGTACTTGGCAATTAATTGACACATAGAGCAAAAAGAATGTTTTCTATCGCTCTTGTCCAAGCAAAATACGAACGCCTTGTTCAACGTATTTTTTCAGACAAGTCATAGGATCGCGCTATTGCTTTTAAATAAGGATTCTTCTGCCATGTGTGAAAATAATGTTAGTAGTCGAAGATGGAACAAACGATATTACCGTTTGCGAATTGCAATGTATATGGG